CTCCTTTATCGAATATTAATTGACCATATATGTTTGGGTTAATGTCTGGAGTCTCTAATCTGTTCCACTGGTCTGTGGCTCTGTTCTTGTGCCAGTACCAAATTGTCTTGATTACTATGGCTTTGTAGTAGAGCTTGAAGTTGGGGAGTGAGATCCCCCCCACTTTATTCTTCTTTCTCAGGATTGCTTTGGCTATTTAGGGTCTTTGGTGTTTCTTCTACACGTCCTTTTGATCAAGCTTGTTAATAGTATTGTTTATACTTTCTATTTGCTACTAATTTTTGGTCTGTGTGACATCAGTTACTGAGAAAAGTATATGTTATATCCTATTATTGTAGTGGACTTGTCCATTTCTCTTCATAATTCTGTCAATTTTTGCTTTATGTTATTTGAAGATGTCATTAGTACATGTGTAATTTCAGAATTAGCATTTCTTCCTGGTGAATTGAACCTGTTATCTTGATGTAGTTACTGTCTTTATTCCTAATAATGCATTTTGCCTTGAAGACTATTTTGTCTGATATGAACAGAACTACTCTAGCTTTCCTCTGGTGGATGTCTGCTTGGTGTATCCTTTTCCATCTTTTCATATTTCCAATGTTTTTTTATGTGTCAGAGACTGGCTAGATGCTCACTAATTCCATTCCTCTTTCTGGGAACACAGGACTACATTTCCCAGCTCTTTCTGCAGCTCTGTAGGGACCACCAGAGGAATGTGGGCAGAAGTAATGTATGCCACTTCTAGGCTTGGCCCCTAAAATGTCATGCATGGTCTTCAATGTGTTATCACTCCTGTTCATATGGCACGAGACAAAGAAATCTAAGATAGCAGAACTAGGATTGAAGGATCCCAGATTCCCACATTACTGATTGAAGGAACAACAACCAAACAGCAGCCTGACCAGGACAGACAGAAAAGCTGAGCATCTCTGCCTCCACGCTGTGTCTTTTGCTGCCTCAACCTGTGGGCCAAAAGGAAAAACAAGAAGAAGAAAAGGGCTTCTGCTCAGTCCTGCAGCCCTGCACTAGGCTTGCTAATCATCAAAAGGAATTTTACTCACAGTGTGAGATTTCTGCAACTATCCCCTTGCCCAAAGCTTGCCTCCTCCGGGAAATAGGAAAATATGCATGAAAATAATGATTGCCCTGTCTAAGAGTTTTAGGAACATCATGACCAGACCTAGGACAGTGAGAGTCAACTGACCAACGACAGTTTCTCAGCTCTCCTCGGACCCTCACTGGAGCTTAGATATCTGCAACTGTCAGTCACCACTAATCTGCTCCCCCTTCCCTAGCATAAAAGAAGCTTGCAGTCAACCTGAGTTAAGATGGTGCTTTAGGACATTAGTTTGCCATCTCCTTGGTCTGCTGGCTTCCCGAATAGTCAGTTTCCTTGCCTCAACACCTTGTATCTCGACTTATCAACATGTCCTGCAGTGAGTGGTACGAGTTTGGTCATGAGTAGCATGACCTGATGAACTGTGAGGTGAGCAAGAAATAAACCTTGTTGTGATCAGCCCCAGCAATATTAGGGGTTGGTTGGTGA